TCTTATGATCCCCGCTTTATGGGAACTGTCATGACCAACGGAAAACATTCCGTTTTCATCAACGTTGTCACTATCAATCAAACTCCTTTTCCTCTTGGAAAGTGAAGTAGAGAATTCCTCTATAACCTCTTTTATCTACTTAGAAAATACTAAATCCTACCTATACCATCACTATTTTGAAACACATGTCGTTGCCTTCTCATTATCATTGTAGCTATAGAGATCAACAATTGATCAAAGACACACCCTGTCAGGTACTGTATCCAAGTTATTCTCTGTATCCAAGTTCATCCCGAGTAATAGTACCACGAGGATAATCACCAAAGCCACCAGACAGCTTTATGATGCCAATGAAGCAAGATGAGCTATTCAATGAAACTCGTATTGTAAAGAAGAAGAAAGAGACTGATTCAGAAAGGAGGGTCGAGCCTCGACTATATACATGTAAGTTTTTTACTTTTCATTAAGTATTTTGATTTACTTTTATATAAATTTTGAAATACTAATTCAATATATATAATTTTTCATATAGGTTCGCTTCACATGCAGCTGACGTGGGGGAATTCATACGCAGTCAACCACCTAATGAATCGGGCGAGGCAATCCAACTTTCGGACGAGGATGCTGAAAGAACACTCCTTGAGTACTTTATATACTTTGAACTAGACAAAAAAAATTAGTTCTATTGTGTTAGTTCATTTTAGTTCGAATGGGCTTGTAATAAGCGTTAACTTAGTTTTGTTAGCTTAATGTGTTAGTTTTATTGATTGTTGCTTTTAATTGTTGTTGCTGGCATAAAATGCCTGTTTAGGATGTTTGGTAAGCTGGCAGGTGGTGTAGCTGCCAAAACAGGCAGTTTCTGCCAAAAATATACCAAGAAAAGCGACCAACTTTGGTCTCTATTTGGTCGCATTTCACTATAAAAAAAAATAATTCTCTGGGCAATAGCGACCAACCTTGGTCGCTACCTGCCCAGATTTCTATTAAAAAAAATATAATTCTGGAAATATAGCGACCAATGTTGGTCGCTTATCTTTAAAAAAAATTAAATTCTTGAATTTAGCGACCAACTTTGGTCTTTATTGTCCAGATTTTAAAATATAATATTTGGATTAGAGACCAAAGTTGGTCGCTTTCTAATGATTAATGATAAATTAAAAACAACGTATTTCATATGTAGAGACCAACTTTGGTCGCCAAATTTATATTATAAATTAATATAGCGACCAAAGTTGGTCACTAAAGTCAAAATCAGAATATTTGGTCCTTTTACCTTAGAGACCAAAGTTGGTCGCTAATTAGCGACCAACTTTGGTCCCTAAAATAAAGGGAACAGCAATATTGCGATCAGGCATGTTTGGTCGCTTTTTGGTCGCTTTAAGCCTATAAGCGATCAACTTTGGTCGCTTTTTGTGGTCGTTTTTTACCGAATTTCTAGTAGTGTCTTAATATTCCCCCTAAATGTTCAGAGAAAATATAAAACACTAAAAACATAGCAAAAGAAGTACAACAAACCTACAAACAATACAGACGTTTGAAGATTTCATTTTTATGTTTTGGATTTTAGATGCACTAAAAACACTTTGCATTTCATAGAGAATAATATTGATCGTTCGATTCTCCACACATTCGTAATTTGATCTTTGTTCCTTACATACACATTTGTTGTCACTTGCAAATGTTAGAGTACATTGGATAATAATTGGAGCAGGAATTTGATGGGTTATGGAAACTAATTAAAAAAATTAAGGAGGAGGAAGAGTGGGCTAATTAAGAGATAGTATTAAAGAAGTAACTGTTGATGTATTAGGCAACATAAAGAAGAAAAGAAAGTGGCCGTTGAGATCTTCATAATAATATTGCATACTATATAATAATAAATAAATAAATAAATAAAATTGATAAATAAATCATTAAGTAGAGGGTAATTTGACCATTCAACTTTTGAAGGACATTTTAGTAAAACAACTTAATCTAAAAGTCTTCACACTTATAATATAGTATGATTTGTATGACGGTACTAGAACTAGTGATGGGTCTATATCGATTCAACTGGTATAAGGAGCAATGGCATCCCAGCTACTTGTGCTTTAGTCAACTTAGTTTTTGTTCGAAACACAGTGGAAAATGGGATTGCCCCTCTACCCCCATTCAACTTGTGTTTTGGCCAATTTACACAAGAGTTGGTAAGTCGATTGGCTGTTAAAAGATAATGTTGGGAGGATTTTCATCAATCAGGCCTTTTCTTGTGTTTTCTCACACATTCTTCTCTCAATGTTGGGACTACCAAATTTATTGTACACATCTAAGTTAAGAAGTCAAGTTAATGCTTCTAAAAGGGTAGGCATATCTTGCTAAACCTATACTCATATCGAATATTTTGAAATTAATCTGGCTTTCGATAACGTAATAGAACAAAGTAACCATACCTAAGTAGCCAAGGGGGCCGACAAATTTATGTGGTCTAAAGCCAAACTTTATGAGTGACCTTAGCTTTTTAATTTTTTTATTATTATTTATTTAAAGTCTATTTATTTTTATTTTTTTAAGCTTTTCTTAGATGCAAAGTTATTTAATTTTATAATCAATAACTCCTAATAAGTATTTCTCAATTGACATTATGGCTAATTCACTTAACTTTTCTTGTGACATTGTTGTTCTTAGGTAAGAGTTTATCAATTTTAATTTTGAAAACTTCTTTCCGCTGAAGCAACGGTAACTTGAGTTATTAATATTATTCCATAAGTAATTTAGGCATTTGGAAAAGAATTAAATCTTTTTTATTTGATTAAGCATATCAATTAAATTGTTATTTTCTAATTGTACTATTTTTCTTAATACTTATAATTCAGAAAATAAATCTAAATCATCAATATCGAATTGATTATTATGCTTTAAGAAACATTCAAGATTAAGGCAATATTTTTTCAAATTTCCAACATCTAGTGATTTTAGTTTTTACTGCCAAATAGAAAATCAAAAATATTTTCATATGCTTCGAATTGTTCAAATCTATTTTGAAGTGAAAAAATAACCTTGTCTATTATGTATAAAAGTAATCAACTCTAAAGGACTCTTCGAAATTTTTTGAGATTTCATATCAACATTCGCATCAAATCATTACTTCCTATATATCACATGTTTCTTACGAAATTCAGGTTTGATATTCATTTCAAGTACAATTTCCTTAGTAGAGATCATAGCAGTTGCAAATTTTTCTTCTCTATATTTGTTAGAAAAAAATCAAAATTTTTCACTTTACAGAACTTCTTTAAACTTATACATAATCTATTAAATGCAACAAAAAATCGAACCCCCACAAATATGGGGCCTAAAGCGGTTGTTTTACTTGCTTTATGGAAGGGCAACCCTTGTAAGTAGCATTTGTTTATTACAAGACACAAATTAGGCAAACTAAGTGTTCCAATTGGACAAGGCCCAAATCAGATACAAACAGAAAGGCCCAAAACTAACCACGAAACAGGCCAGCAATTGTGTACAACATAGTGGAACCGATAGAAAGCAAGCTCCAGCCCAAGTTCTGTGCAGATTTTACAGCGCGTGAACGACAGTAATTATGACCGTACCAAGTGTCGCTAGGGATGCCAACATTGTAGGTGAAGGTGACAGCTTTGGTGTGGTAGCCGTAGATAGTAACATCATACGGTATCCATCCATCGTATCCACTCCTGTAGAGGTACGCATAACAGATCTGATACGTACACGGACCGTATACTGTGTATGTATCCCTCGAACACCGCTCAAAAGCCCTGCTTGACGGATCATCTAACCTCGGTGCATAAACCTGAAAAAATGGGATTGAACAATTTAACAGTAAAATAAAACAATACTAATATCGCGCGACTCAATAAATTGAGCTTAAAGCTATAGGAGAAGTGGTTTACCTGATTTCCATAAGCATCACCAAAGGCTAGACTAATTTGGTCTCTGGTGAGTGCGGGAGAAGAGCAGCTTGTCCTAATGCTCACCGTAAATGAACAGCGGGCGTTCTGCGCATATGATATTCAGATTAATTTTAAAACCCAACTGCTTATTCATCGATATTCGGCCATAATAATGGGCACTCGTATTTTACCATATTTTTCAGATAGCTAACCCCGACAAGTTTGGGGGTGAAGGATAGATGGTTAATTGATTGAATGTATATTTTCTGCACAACCATTTGATAAAACGGAACAAAAATGAAGAAGAAATGAATAAACGGTACCTGGTTCGAAGTGGTGTTGATTATGTCGAGGGATGATAAAGGCTGGGGCAAGAAAACGATGGATCTTGATGCTCGAGCACCGGAAGTGATGGACGCGACGGTGATAACGAGAAGAAAAAGTAGTCCTCTGATCATGGCTGGTGACATCTGGAATCCTGTTTTGGACTTCTATTGTGCTGAAGTTAAACCAAGTTTTTGGAATAGAATGGCAATCGGAGATTACTAAATTGTGGCAAACTTGGAATAGTACACGAGTACAGTTGAGGGTAATAAGGAAAGGGCATATTCGTCTTTCCGCCCCTTGTGAGGGTGAAAATGAAGGGATGAAACGTTTGGTGAAAGAAACGGATGGTAAGGATTACAAAATAGTAAAAACGTGGTTGGCGTGGAGAGCTAGTGCACAGGGGAGAATCGGATTATCCTCAAGAGACTCAGTATTGGATTTATTCGGGGGCGCCATGTATCTTAGTGAGCAAGTATAGGGACATACTAGTCTATCCAATTAAATTGTTCGATGATGTAATTTAATATCTGATAGGGATGGTTTGTTTGGTGGCTGGACCTGCGAGTTTCTTATGTCAATCTTTTGACTCTAGGTAGCTGCTATCTTACCCCTTTCGTCGAAGATAATTTTCCATTGAGAAGAAATACAGAATACGTTTGAAAAAAAGAAAGAAATACATAACAGTCCTTTTCTTGAGTTTACTTCCTGGTTTAGAATTCACCCCGGGCATTATGAGATGATATGCTTTAGTTCAATCATTTTTGAGAAACCTCTGATTATACGCAACTAAGATTATTCGACTAAGTTCCCACACCATCCAGTGTCAAATGTCAATGAGCATATACGCAGGTCAATTAAGTGGTATATTAAAATATTCAAAAGGCTACCGATTAAACAAAATTCAAAGCCTAAGGTAGTATCGTGGCTTGCATTCCTTCTAATCTACATCGTGCCAGCTTGATTAACACGACCCAGAGGAGTTTGGCAAGGTCGCCAGTGGTAAACTCCAACTAGCAATGTTTCCTTGAAAGAGCCATACATTTGTATTCTACAATTGCCTTTTGGAGTGGAACTGGATATTATTAGGGCCTTAGGGGTGGCTGGCGAGAGCAGACAGTAATAGGCACCTCACCGTGGTCCATCAAACATGAACATATATTATCCTCTAGGCAAAACTACAAAAGTGTAGAAGGAGAAATATTCTTGTCTCAAGTACGTGCTACACATGAGAGCTAGAAAGGATTGTAACGAACATACCCAATTCAGAGGTCCAAAACCATATTCCATTCAATTGAAAGGGCATTATAAGGATATAATCCCAAAAAGAACCAACCAACATGTCAAAAGATGTAGAGAGGGAAAAGAAATCCACCCCTTCTCCACTCCTCAAACGAAAATAGTCCTTTACGATAATAGAAAGCGGTATGTGGAATGGTTTTCTTATCAGGCCAAGCAAAATAAGCCATATTATAAGCGTTAATGCAAATAAAATAGCTGACAGAGTATCCAGAAGTCAAAGGAAGATATAAAACATGCATCAAACCTATACTCTTGATTCAGGAGCTTCGCCTGAACAAGAGACTGGGGAAAATCTTCATCAGAACTCCGTTGGTGGTTTCAACCTAACAAGTCTCTTGATTCTATCTTTGTCAATGTTTTCCAGCAACCCCTTCAAAATAAAACAGTGAAACAATAGCATTAGCCCAGACAGCACCAAACTGAAGACAACATACATTGAGCTAACAGCCAAACCAAATACTTGTTTCTCTTAGCTATCATATTGGACTGAAAGGGTTCATCAATTGAGACAATCAGTTTGAGTAAACCTACAGCATGATTTAGCAAAATTCCTAGATGGTATAAACAGTGTGACCTGATGGATGCAGTAAATCATGCAAGTCATCTAGCATTGGAAAAAAAGCATGTGGTTTTGCATCAAATAGGTACAATTTGAATTAAGCTTAAGAGTATTCATAACCGCCCTATGCCCTCTCCAAATAGAATCACACCATAAACTTGAGAAGATGAGAGCTTCAAGTATGTGAAATTATTTATGCTCCAACGCAAAAACATTTTGGCTTACCGTCCACACAATTTCATCCAGAACCAAGCAAATCTTTCCATACTTGTCCAAGAAGGATCTCTCTGTTGGAGGTTTTCCACAAACATCCTTAATAGCAGATGTTATAACAAAGATTGCTTCAGACACTGCAAATAAAGCCAGTGAGATTCCATAAAAAATAGTGGAAGGAAAAGTTTAATGATTCTACAAGTGTAGAACAATCACCCTTAATAAATGGAATAGCTACCCTCTGTGACTACAGATAATCCCTGCAGGACAACAGCCACACAGCTTAAAGAAAGACAATACAGCCTCACTGATGGCAATTGCCATAACATTGCCTTTTTTCGTAATCCGCAAAATGGAAGCTGCAATGCAATTTTCCATCTAACCTAATGGTATTGTCTTCCTCCTCTAGAGTTCATACACCTCAAGTATAAGAAAAGTCAGCTCAATTATGTGATCAATACTATAATATTGAAGGGCTTCATATTGGATGGACACCATAATGCAATTAGGTAATCAACCTAAAAGTAAGCTGCACCAGTGGTAGGCTTCCTTTTAAATTTTGACCACATAATACTTAATTTGAAGAAAATTTGATCATTTATCTTTACACTCTTGTCGAGTAACTCCAATATTTGACAGTCGATACAATGGTAGGAAAAACTATTGGGACCAATTTGTGTGCACCTCAACTATTCCACGAGATATATGCTACCTCCCGCGTGAACAAATACTGCATAACTACGCATGGCTTAGGTAAATAGGAAGAAACTACCTAATTTTTATCTCTCTGTTGAAATTTGAATTCTGATCTTTCACGGTCTTCATCCCTTTCCATTGACTGATAAGTGATACCTTTAAGTACTTAGGGGTCGTTTGGACAATGGTGGGATAAACCAGGATATTGCATGGGATTAGCTATCCCACCTTCTATATGGGATAGCCAATCCCACCATTTTAGTATAAAACTTAACCCGGGATTAGCCTATAACCAAACAAGGGATAAATACAATCTCAAATTTTATCCTGGGATTATTATCCTTATCCTCTTGTACCGAACGACCCCTTAGTAAGTTGAGTTACATTTGAAGATTTTTCTTTTATGCATATGCATAAAAAGAGAAAGAATGATATACTCAACCACTAATCTCAACATCTCAAATCATGAAGTCATCAAAGTTTGGAACATTCAACTACCTCAAAGTTTGCAAAGGCATTATTAGCCTCCACATAATTAAGGTCAGAACTGGTTTGCCTTATTTCAACTAAACTATCTAAATCAATTGCCACGAGCATACTTTGAGCTACATACAACAACAACCCAGTAAAATCCCACCCAGTGGGGTCTGGAGACGGCAAAAATAGCATATCAAAATAAAGTTTGTACATAAAATGAAAAAAAGACAACATGATTTGCAGTTTCTTTTAGCATAAATTAATTGCTGACGAGGCCTTAAACAACTGTACCATGCGTCAGTAAATCATTATCTCTTTTCTTGAAATATTAAAGTTAATGACTCAGACTTACAGGCAAGTTCATCATACTCATCCTTTCCTACAATATATATGCTGACATCTCCAAGTACCGTGTATACAATGTAAACAGACCTGCAGAGGAAAAATATGTCAAAAGACTATATATAGAAGAATTGTCATGAAAACAGTCCTAATTACTAGCAAACCACCCTTTACTACAAGAATCTTTTGCTAAGGTTTAGCTAAAGGAGGTTGAGTCCAGAAGCAAGCACCCAATTGATCTGAATTCAATTCCAAACACTACAGACATAAAGGAGGAAGCTTGGGAAGCAAGCATCTTGCCTGTTCCTCTCTGTGTCACCCTCCCTCCCCACATCTCCAACTAACAACTGTTTTTAGCTATATGTTATTGACATTGGTCAGGAATGTGGACCACCATATAACCAGATAACAAATTTACATACTTGTGGCAAGCCACTAGGAGTTCTTCATTCTTGACCCCTTTAAGATTCTCTGCACCCAGCTTAACTAAGAAAGACCTCCAATGCAGACGCTCCTCTGCTGGTACTCCATTAAAACTGCAAGTGAAGATGTACTAAAAGTGGTAATTCCTGCCTGGAAAAGAAAAACTAAAGAAGCTGTGTCTGGAAAAAAAAAAGGCATCTTCCTGCAGGAGAGACTTCGATTGAAGAAAAAATAGCATCTTTACTTTATTGGCAGAAGGTAAGATAGATAAATTTAATACATAGAGTTACTAAGGATAGTTGAAATAGGTGAGCGCTACGTTAATATTATGCAATAGGAGGATAACTAATAAAGTAAGTGATAGTACAAGATGAGTAATTTTATATGAGAGTGACACAAGATGAGTGTCAAATGCAAATATTAGGATGATTATGCGATTATACAAGATTAGATAATATCATAATTACAGTCAATAGAAGGACAAGCAGCACACATAGGGATAATGAAGGAAGGTTGTCAAAGATGGTTTGCTCATGCCTTGAGAAGACCTAAAAATGTATGAGTCGGTAGGTATAACGAATGAGAATAGAAGATGTTAAAAAGGGGATGAGTATACCTGAAACTAAATACAAAGAAATCTCAAAAGACCTACAATCTCTTGGAAATTGGAATCCATACAAACTTGGCAAAAAACAGACACAATGGAAAAGCAATACTAGGCGATCTAGACAATATAGCTAGTCGGGATAAGGATTAGTCGTGTATGTACAGTGCTTGCTGGGAATCTTTTTAGTCTATTTGAAGATCTGTCTGTCAATAGAAAATGAAAAGGACCTCAAGGCTCTAGTATCAGAGAATTCTAAATCGTGGATTATCGGAATGTAACAAGTCCAACTGGAGTAAAATGGATGTTGAGAATTCATATAACCGACCGCAGCTAACTTAGGATTGAGGCATAGTAGTAGAATTAGTTGTTGTTATTGAACAAATCCCACCCCAGGGAGTGATGGAGCAATACCAAATTCAGTAGAAAGCAGCTAAGTAATCAACATTTAAAAATGAGCACTAAAGTAACTAGAGACAGAAGGCAGATATTGTTGATACCACAAAATAAAAAAGCCTTATAACCACACATCAACGCAGCTTGTTAAACGGATACCATAAGAAATAAGGAAATCTATAAGATAAAGCAGCGATTTAAACAGGAAATTCTCAAGTATTCATTTACGCGGAGAAAACAGAATCTTAGCTGTGCGTTACCGTTCGACGAGGATGTTGCCCTCGGAGTTAGCAAATAAGACAGCCAAAAGCATTTTCTAACCCTTTTCCGAATGCGATTGTTGCTGATCTGATCGGCGAACTCGGATCAGAAATCGCCGTTGTTGGTCGCTGAACAATTAGTTTGATCGGTAATTGTATTCTGACCCCTGTCTTCCCGAATATTTCTTGTCCTTTCTTTTATTTTCCTTTCATTTTCCTTTTACCGTCGTCCGTCAGGGAGAAATGTGCCTCCTTACCACTTGCCACTTTTTTCCCTTTTTCCTGTTTTTCTTAATTGAATTTTTGGAATATTTTCATTGGCTACTCTGGTGCTTGACGTTCTTTCGGCTAGGGGTGTTCAAACCGAACCGGAAAATCGCATCAAACTGAAAAACCAAATCAAACCGATTAAAAAACCCGACTAGATTTGGTTTGACTTGGATTGATATTGAGTAAAAAAATCCGAACCAAACCGACATATAAATATATAAATTTTATTTTGTTATGAAACAATAAAAGAAGAAGAGTATTGCAGAGAAAAGTAGGGAGAGAGAATTCTTATTGATTTTGGGATGAATTACAATGGAATAGAACCCTCTATTTATAAGGAGAGATTGGTTTAGCCACCAAGAAACCCTAAAATCTCTCTAAATATAGACATTCACCTTAAATAGAATTCTATTTATAACACTCCCCCTTGAATGTCTATTCAACAGATAATGTGCCTCGTTAAAACCTTAACTAAATAAAACCCAATGGGAAAGAAATTGTAGAAAAGGAAAAGAGTACACATATCTAACAATACGCTTTTTGGTTGCCTCGTTAAAACCCTTGCAAGGAAAACCCAATGGGAAAAAACCTTGTAAGGAAAAAAGAGTGCAACGCGTATT